AAATAAAAATTTCGAAAAGCTGCCCTTTGCCTTATGCTCAACGACTCTACATTTGTGATTTTATTGACTATATTCGCGAAATGACCGGTAATTAATTAATTCTTCGCTTGATTACGCGAAATTGTTTTAGAATATATGTTTGTATGTATGTTTATTATATATTTTTTTGTATCTCCATGCAGAATTTAAAGAAAGAACGAGAAACTGAAAAAAAAAATTAGTACGAGTTGAAAAGAAAAGAAAAATGAAATACGGTAACCAGTATCATGACCGGTCGTCAATAACGATTCTTCCTCTCTCTTTCTTCTGGTGAGACCACTTGAAACGCGTATTTCGTTATTACCAGAAGTAGGCCAATAGTGCAGGTTTGTTAGACCCACTGGTCTACATTTTGTTACGCTTAGACGAGAACAAGACCGTCTCAAAAACGGTTTAGACTACTCGACTTGACCGGTTGACCGAATTCGGTGAGTTCAGTAAGTAAGGTCAGGCTTATTTATCGTGTCTGATATACATGTGAGTAAATCGAGGTACCTTTGCAACATAAGATACACCTTCGAGGATTACCAAAATCGATAATCTTGTTAACTCGTAAAATGGATCATTGAGAACAATCGAAAAAGGTGAACCGAAGATAAGAGTTTATTAACGTACTTAAAAGTGTTCGACGTGAGCTCGTGCAGTTACGTGCGAGGGATCTCAAGCCGGCCGCGTGGCAGACAAACGTACGGAATCATGCGCGCATTGAAATTCCCTCCTATCTCTTTGTAGCGAGTAGCTGATTTTTATCGAGTACATGACCGGTTACCGGGCGAAGAGTTTATAAACCGCATTCGACATCGAGGTACGGGCAAACACGCAAGGAATACGAATGGTAACGCACTTTCCAGAAGATTAAGAGTACCGTGAGCGACTCAGTTCTTTTCTCATACAATTAAATGTTAATGGATTTACTTTCGATACATTTGTTCCTAAAGAAATTAAGTAATCGAAAGAAATTTCAAAACAATCATCAATGAGATATTATATTATATATATAGTATTAATATATTAAGGATTATTAGTACGTAGGAAAAAATATAATTAACATCGTTTTTTGGTCTTCGATTATAACGAAACTCAGAGTGAAATAAAAAATAAATTTTCATTGATACATTGTCGATAGTTTTAGAGCAAGAAAACGTTTATCTACGTTAAAAAAATATTCATAGAATTTTAAATAATCTAGATAAATATAATTTTATTTTGAGTTATCGTGTGAACTTAAACGTTCGTTTGATTATAAATAGGGGCATGGAAATTACGTAATTGTTTCGGGTAAGCAATTCACTATAACGTGAACATTTGATAATCAGCGAGAAGCGTGAAATATTTCGATTACTTTTTGATTTTTGTTCTGTTATAAAAGATCCACGAGGTAAAAGCTGAAAGAAGGTCATTTAAACGGGTCACATTTGTCATGCAGATCGGGTATCCATTGATCACATCATTGTGTGTAATTCTTATACGAAAAAGAGCTCAGCTATAACTCAAAAAATAGAATGATGTCGTGGCTAGAAAATTCTTTCACGTGTAGTAGAAATTTTTTAGGACGTTTTTTTTTCCCCTATTTAAAATTCACTTTAAATAAAAATTCAACTATTAACCACATCTCAAATATTACACTATCTAACGACGTGACGACAATTTGTTAATTTCTTCTTATTATAATAGATTCACGTGAACCATGAAACTCAGTCTTTTACGTTGAAAAAAGTATAAAGTCTAAAGAATGTTTTTTACCAGTCTCGCTAGGTCCCTCTTTCTATCTCTTTTACGCGTATATATCTTCGTGTCAGGTCAACGTCCGTTTCGTTGAAAAAATTTCGTCGCGAAGGAGACGCGACCGACTCATTCGTATTCACGCCTCGTAATTTCGGAGCATATCCAAATTCTGCAATAATCGTCGCGGAGCACGTTCGTGATTGTGTTAGAGTGATGTACGAAATTTCCTAATCGAGATATTTTGAGAGCTGACGGTGAGAAACAATTTCGATATTTTCAAGAGATAAAGATTAAAGCAAAAAAGAACACAAGAAATATTGATGACCGTAGATTTTCTAGATCGTTGAATAAAATCGAATGAATCCCGTGTTTTTCTATAACCGACGACACTGAACTCTCCTGTTTTCTTTTTTCAAAAAACGTTCGAGGTTCTACGATGGGCAACGACGTCGTTCGATCTATCGAACACTTCGACAGTCGTCAAACGGTTCGATTGCTTTGAGAATTACGTGATCGGCTGACCGACCGTCAGCCTCAAACACAGCATCGTTCTTTCTTCCCGCGCACGAGCGTTTCTTTTGAAGACGATGAACGAACAAGTGTCGACATCATCTCTGTCTCACTCTTTATGGCTTTTACCGTTCGGTATACTTGTACAAGCACACTCGCCTGTTCACTCATTCCTATCTATATGTAGTCTACTCTACATGATTGAAACGCTTGTTCAGGCGAAGATCGACCACGTCCATAACTTCATAAAATATCCATGTTTTCTTTACGTAAGGTTGTACAGTTTAACAGCGCATCCGCTTTGTTAATACGTTGGATGGTGCACCGTGTAAAAAGTTATTGTTACGGAAGCGATAAAATAAATAAAAAAAGAAAATGGAGAGTGAAAAAGTACGCGTCGAAAATTGATCGAAAACAGCTCTTTGAGATTTTATTAGCGATTTTGACTTTCAATCTAGACAAGACAGATTTTATTTGTCCTTTAACTAAAATTCGATCAAGATCTCTCTCTCTCTCTCTCTCTCTCTTATTCTCTCACAGCTCGGAAGGACCACGTTAGGCTTTCATTCGTTACGGTTATTGCCCCTCTCGGATCGCGTGAGCACAATCGCTTCTTACTCACACCCCATTACTTCATTTTATTTTCGTCGCTGTACCTAACGAGCGGCAAAACCGGAATCGTGCGCTGCCCATCCACGATACGGGCAAAAGGCGGTTTCGGTAATTAGCTTCTGATAATTAGTTATTAGTCATTGGTCACGTAAGAAGCATTCTGCCTTGGATGTGCTATCAACTTTAAATTCTTAACGTGGATCTATCGTCAGTGAGTTGCACGAACTCTTTCAATTTCTCGTCGTCTTTACTTTCATACACTTTATTATATAATGATCACTATTAATAATGTGTTATAGGAGATAAAAATAATACTTTATTATTTTAAGTTGAAAAACGTAGACAATATTTTGTTTATAAATAGAAAAATGGTACAAAAGTGATTCCCGTTTTAAATAACGTTAATTATGATCTTGTCTTTCAAATGTGAGAAACTGGCATCTTTTAAACTGGCTTATATATTCTTCGATGGAATAAACTATTTATTAGCTAGATTTCTATAGATGATTTAAAAAAATGGGTTTTATTTAAAATAATGAGAGATCCTCAATCGTTAAATCTGTACAGCAATAAATTATTCGAGGAATAGGACATATTACTTTTGTTCCGCTTACCGACATCTATTATCTTTCAAATCGAATCAGCTGTTTAAATTAGTAATCTATTCAATATTGAAGTTATTTTAAAGATATCTTTGAAAATATTACCATAAACATTTTTTCTCACATCATTGGTAGAATAAATATTTAATGCTTTTCATGCTACTATTTTGTCTAATTATTATTGAGTCAGGCAACATAAATAAATATAAGACGATATATTGTGCAAAATTTTAGGATGCATCTTCGTTGGTTTCGTTCTACTCGTCGTCATCGTTATCGTCTACTCACGGCATTAAGAGAATTCGATTCATCACAGGAATTCCTTTTATTCACGCGCGTTTCTCTCCATTATCGTCGGAAGAGAAGCTAAAGCAGTCCTGGCCGACGGATACAAAGGGGTCTGTAGGACCCCATAGATTCTCCTAGTTTACATTTTTCGTTTTTGTTACTACGTCGCTTGGCAGCTAATAGGATCTTATTATGCTGATCTTTGGAATTTGTTTAACTCATTATACCAGAGTAAGAACCCTATTCGATATTTTTTTCGAATGCTGCCGCGCACGAATCGATCGATTTTTCGAGATTCAAATCGATTCGCTCGAAATTTTTTTTTCTCGTTCGATCTTATTTGTTCCTCAAAAAAATGTCATCATTAGAAATGAATAAATTGCGGACAATATTGGAAATGTTAAAAAGTGAGAATTGTTAAATTTTTATGTTCTTTCATATTTATCCGTTCTGTGACGAAAAAGACCCTTGATATTTACTAGAGAATGATATTTGTTTCGATATTCAAATATCGTATCTGTATTGTAAGAGGTGTTAGTGTACATCCGACTTTCCTTCGGGGCCTACAAGATATATAGAGTATTATAATATTATCCACTATTACATGCTAGTTTGAATCATTTAGGTATAAATTTCTTTGAATTGAAACAGTCGAATTTCGTGTTATTGATCTAAAAGAGAATTCGCGACTCGTGCATTTTCGAAATTCTACTATATTGCAGTGAATTTCGATTGCAAGTTTGCTGAAAGAGTATCCAAATAAAGAATGTCGCGTGCATACAATGCTCTAGGTTTGTGGGTTCTCGCGATATGCAGCGATTCACTTTCTAACTTGATCGAGCATCTTCTTTCAAGGCAGGATTCACACGGCCTAAGTGCATCGAAATTTGGCTTGCCTCGTTTGTCGCTCTCACGAAAGGAACTCGCACATCTCCGCTGAGATCATTGTAGCGAGCCGGAGGTGTCTCAACGCACATGGGAAATTTAATCCGTAGGAATGTCCACGAAGAGGATGAGAAAGAAGTAGACGACGACAACTACGATGACGACGACGATGACGATGACGACGAAGATGACGAATAAAAACGATCACTGATCTTGATCACTCGTTGTCACCAATACGATAAGACTCGACCCATCTTTGGTGATCGACGCGTGCTCACTTTTGCATATTCCGTTCATCGGAACTTTCACTAATTATTTCCCACGTTAATACGGACTTACCTATCGAGGACGGTCGTCGGGGTTCTTCGAAGAAGAGCCTTACGAGATGCGGCAATCACTCGAGGATGCTTCTTACGTCTTCTTCTCTCACACAAGGCACGATATCTTGAAATTTCGCGCGAAAACTCGAATACTTAAGCGCGTATTGCCAATTAGTTCACCCTATTTCTTACTTATTTTACTTTTCTTCGGATAAGGGAAATAGGACTAAGTATAATATATAAAGTGGCACGAACGAACAAACGAACTAACTACGGTGGGTGATTCTCGTTTTTGAGGGGCCGACCGAAACGCTCTCGCACCCTTCGGCGAATTGGTACGAGACAGAAGGCCTACTCACTACTACTCTCTCTCTCTCTCTCCCCCCCTGTTTTTTTCTCTTTCTCTCTTTCACACTCTCCCTCTCTCAAACATACATGCTCTCTCGCTCTCTCTTTTTCTCTCTCTTTCTCTCTTTCTATTCTGTCTCCTCAAAATCACCGCGACACCGCACCGAACAGAAGTGAACTACTCGTGCGCCGCCGGTTCACGGTACCTTAAATACCTTGGCAGCCGTGCCGCCACCACCGCAACCGCCGCAGTCGTCGCCGCCGTCGAGAATCGTGCGGCCCCTACCTTCAAAGCCGCCCCACGTCGCATACCGGGATTGGCGGGGGAGCAAGCAGGAACGATGCTCGCCGTACTCGCCGGATACAGAAGAGCATCCTCCGCCATCCCTTCTAACCCCTTTCTGCCCCATCTGCCACCTCTTCCTCCTCCTCCACCACCTCCTGCACCACCTCCGCCTCCTCCTCCTCCTCTTCTTCCTCCTCCTCCTCCACTTCTTCCTCCTTCTCCTCCTTTTCCAGCGTTTATTCGCTTCTCTCCTACTCCAGTACCAAGCAAGGTATAACGGCCTCTCGCTCTCTTTCTACGTGCTCCGCACGCACACACAACGGTGGCAGTTGCATGAGAAAAGGAGAAGACATCCCGATACTCGAGCGATTCCCTCGCCATTCCATTCGCGTCTTCGCGCGCGTTTGTAACTACCTTTAGAAGCTGATCTTTTCTTCGATTTTCGTATTACGTATCCTTACATTCTCTTTTATTTTGCTTCTATTCGCGCGAGATTCGATATGTCACTTCGATATCGGCCGGTTTGTTGAATTGTTAAGATCGTAGTATCCTTTTAAGAGTTTTTATTTGACAGTTGTAAGATGACTTAAGTAGAAAAAAGAATAAACAAAAATTTTTTTTAGAATTAACGGAAAGACGAGGAGCGACGCTAAGGGCTTTACTTCCCTCTTCGCGCATGCGTAATTTTATGAGACGGGGGAGTCTGCGCCCGGCGAATTCTCATTCGCACTTTGCATCTCGATACGTGCGAAACGTGTCCCCTCTCCATATCTGACATAGCGTTGATTTTCAAAGATACGTGTGTTACCATCATTCTTACTGGCAATATTATTCCAGCCCCCCATGGAATTTCAAGCGCTCGCGGATGGCAGCGGCGCGTTAATCGCACGTTCCGTTTCTTTTTCACGAGCGTGTCCTTGCACGTTTACACGCGTGCTTTCAAGTGGCTCGCGTGTACTTACTCGAAGGAGCGTTTTTCCATGAGTGTTCCGCGTTGCTTTTCATAATTAGCCGCCCATGTTCTACGCACGATAAAGTGGGACCCTCCGTTGAGTGGTTCAAGCGAACGAGATGAAAGCTCTTCCCTTTTTCTCTCTTCTATGTATTACGTTGATGATGTTCAAGGGCAGATCTTTCTCGTTTTTAAAAGATGAGAAAGATATAGTCAATGTACATATTATTTCTTTCTCATTTTCAATTGTTCATTAATAAGGAAAAATTTCATATTCCATTATATAATGTAGTCATTTTTCCTGAAACTGTTTTTCTCTAACGTTTTACACCTACTACGTTATTCTATTTCCATGCATAACTACGTCTTCATTCATAAACAATTATAACATATATCTCGTCTAATAATTTTATTCATATCGATTACAACAGAATTACTTGAAATCTCGTGAATTCCAAGAATCACGGTTTCAAATTGTGCTAAACTTTATCCGGGAATTTGTTTCCGAGCGTAAACTGTAAGGATTGGTCAACGCTATTGGAAATTCAGCTTTGCTGACTCACTATCTGACCGATCTATCTAGGAACGATCGAGAGAAGGGACACCCCATAAATTATGTGCGGGTTTTGAACGTTCGCAGAAGATCAATTCGACAAAGCAGATTCTTTCTTAATTAATTTTCCTGTTGACTCACTCTTTCCCTTTCTCTTTCTTTCTTCTTCTTTATATTTTTTTTTATTTTCGTTATATCGTATATTTTTCGTAAATTTAATTATTCTCCGTTTCTTAGAAAGATGTATATAAAAAAAAATATAAACGTTACTTTTAAATGACTTCTAGCTTTTAATGACAAAATCCTTCGATTTGATTCTATCAAGTCATTAAGAACAGTTGATTAATGACTAAGATTTAATATTTCGACTTATTTTGTTTCCTTCATTACTTAAGAATAGCAAAAATATAACATTTAATTCGTAATAACTTAAATCATATTGAGATTATACCAATAACGGACCAGGCTTTTTATTTGATTAACTGTTCATGTGGCCCTCTGCTTAACTTGCAGAGTCTGCGCGCGAACTGTTTCTTTCGTTTTCTTTATCTCATATATGTACGAAAAAAGAACACGATCGAGAAGACGAGGATAACACATTACAATTTAATTGGTATTCTAATAAGACATTCACGTAGAATAAACATGACCATTTGACGTCGTATCATCTAAAAACTCAAAAATGTAATCCTTTTTATTTAAAGAAAACTTGAAATTTATGGTCAAACGTTTAGCACACCATAAATTTTATCTTTTATTATTCAAAATATCAATTGATAAGTATTGCCATTTCCACAATTTATTTTCTTTTTTTCCTCTTTGTAAAATACACTTACTGTTAAATTGAATTCCTAAAGCTAACATCGACTATGCGTAATGAGAAGAAGATTATTTTTTCGTGGAAAAAAAGAATTCTATCCTTAGAACTTTTGTACTTACCTAGACAAGCTAAAGATATAATGAAATATTTATAAGTACAGGTTAATAACGTTGATAATCATCAGAAACGTAAGCACGTTGTTCGCTTTAACGGACGGGTGTAATAAGAAGATGTAAAAACCGTAAAGAAAGTAATAAAGAAGAAACATGTAGTAAAGTTATTTCTAGGTAGTCTATGTTGTAACTCATCAGAACAGAAGGGGAATTCGGTTCAGCGAACTAAACGCATCTCGATTCGTAATTCTCGAGCTTCCATATCTACCCACGTTTCTCCATGGTTGGCGAGATCGTTGCCACTGACACTGACATAATATCGTTATTCGAGAAAGAGAGTCTCCTTCTTTGACGGTCACAGTCACGACAAGATGGTGAAATTGCTCGAATGATGTAATATCTCTTGCATAAGTGCTACGTGAATGAGAAAGAAAGAAAAAGAGAGAGAGAGAGAGAAAGAGAGAGAAGAAAGATACGATAGAAAGTGAAGTGCGACCGAGAGAAGGAGATAGAGTCGTCGAGCAGACAGCGAACTTGACCTGAATCCTCGAGCAGCGAGAAAGAATCATCGTCGGAGTCTCTTATAGAAAGGAGAAAGGGGGGGAGCTGCGGTGAAAGAGCTAAGAGATAGAGTGAGACGCAAAAGAGGAAATTACTTTCGATTTCGAGCTCCTTCAGATCAGTTACACTTTCTCTATCGCTTTCCTCTTCTTTTCTTAGCTTCCTTCTTATTTTTCCTTTTTTCTTATTTCATTAACTATTTTATATTACTCTTTCACCTGGGAAATCGACGACAAGATCTATTATCACGATTGAATATACTTACATCAGTGGTCGCTTTTTAATTGAAACGTTCTGTTCTGAAGATAGTTCTACAGGCTCGTGGATGTAGTAAGGGAGTAAGGAATACGAAACTGATGTTAACAAAATATATTTGTTAGAAAGGAACTGTTCGAATGTCCGTTTGTTAGGGAATCGTAAATCAAATTGAATCGTCTCTGTTTGCTTTAGCGTACGTGACATGTTCGGTTTTATCGTGTCTTGTCTTAATCCAGTGGGTTTTTTAATACGTTATTTTTTATTGATTTTTATCTAATGTTCCATGTTTATGTCATATTTATACAATCTTGTAAAATTTTGACATGTAAATTTATCAATTTTCGAACTTAAGGCCTGGGTTATTACAATAAATTTCTCATTAGCGTTATAACTGAGATGGTATATTTATCCATCATTGTAGCTTGATCAACTGACGATTGCTTGGCATTCATGAAATAATACGTGAATCATTCTTAATCGTACTATGACTTCTTGAGCGAAATACGTACATATTTCATTCTCTTCCGGTACCTATGATTTTATTTTGTATTATTATTATATATAGGGAATAATGTGTGGATTGATAAACGATTGAAATATTTCATCTTTTGTATGGTTCTTTTAATCGTTTCTGGTTAAATCTTATACGTAATCCTTGCCCACGCGTTTAATGAATACGTTGGTGTATACAAGAGTATGTATGATGTATACTGTACACTGTTGAGAAGAACAGCTGCAGGTAGACACAGGGGTAAGAGGTAAGGATCGCTTGATCTACTGATCCCCACTTTTTACACTTCTTTTGAAAATGCAATCTTTTTGTCAGACCAATCCACTATACGTGGATTTTTTAATAGTTTTCGAGTTTTATAATTATGTCACTTTGTAAGAACACGATGCATTTAAAAAAGTATTAAGTCGTTCAAAAAAGTTTCTTAATTTTAAATAAAAAATATCGTGCATATAAAACTTAATAAGAGAAAACAAGAAACTTTTAAGAATATCTAATCTTTTTAATATTACTTGATTAGAAAATTTTGCTCAACGTTTTTTATCGCGCGTCATCTTCTTCGAATTTATGAACCAGTAGCTACGATAATCGAATGAACTCAACAGAAGTTAAAAGTTTTTATGAGGGAATATTTAAAGAAGGATCGTATTCATGATGGTAAGATTATTAGCTCGCTATATTTACAAATAGGATAGACTGTAGTATTTGAACCTCTGACTTCAGTCTTTCTTTATATCTTCGTTACATCCGGTGCAATGAGATGATGTCGTTCCTATGACAATATTTATCTCGTCGACTCTGATTGTGAGTCGAGTAGAAGACTTTCAGTGTATTTAAACTCAGTCATCTCTCACACATCTATTTGAACCACCTGTACTGAATGCTGGCATTATACTCGTTTGAAGAAGAGTTGAATTTAACATTAAGACGATTTATGGCCAATTACATGTATGTAACGGTTAAATTAAAGACTATTTCAAGTATCGAGTTTAAATCGAGTCTAAGTAAGTTATTCTTAAAGTTATCCTACAAATAGCATGCTTTTTATAAAAAAAAAAAGATTTTCCTCATTTATTTTTCAAATTTCTATTAAATATAATAAATTTTATACAG